CTGGGATTCAGGTTCTTGTCCCTCACTTGGGCTGGTTACTGTGTCTTAGTCTAATCTTCTTCATAGGGCTGTTGTGAACATAAGACTGACAGGACGGGGAAGATTTTGTAGGCCACCCTAACTTTCTTGAAGGAAAAAAGGTGGGATATCTTATCCTTCCTGCACTTACCTGTTCTGAAAATGTTCTGCTTTCTGACATAGGGTACCTTCTATGACACATGCCTCTTCCATACAAATTACCAGATGCACACATGCACATAGGGTGGGGTAAGAAGATAATAATTCAGGCTGATGTGAATTAGCTAAGTGTAATGAAACTCTAGTTAAAAATGTCCAGTGAGCAGAGAACAGAGTGAAACACCCCTAACAATCCACAAAATTTAGGCAGGACAGTATTAGTACATTGCATCTATGCCCAGCCTTTTCCTCTTGTGTAGAACCCAACCCGGCTTGCCTAATTCCATTTTATCCTCATAACAACAGCTCTGTGAGGTAGGTTGGGCTGAAAGTCTGTGACTGGCCCAAAGCTGCCAAGTGAACTTCATGGCTTGGCGGAGACCAGAACTCCAGGATCCTCAGTCCAACACTCTATCCACCATACCACACCATCCCGACTCACCAGTTGCTACATCTATTTGCTAGAATTTGTGGATGTTGTTGATATATGCCATCAAGTCATCTCTGATTTTTGGTGACTCTGTGAATGAAAGCCTTCCAGAATGTCCGATCCATGGCAGCTCTGCTCAGGTCCTGTAAAATCAAGGTGGTGGCATCTTATGAAGTCCATCTATCTCATATTTGGATTTGCTAGAAGAGATCTAGCAAAATCCACACAACCGGAGCAACAGCCTTCCCCAACCTGACGCTGCCCAGATTCGCTGGTTGGGTGACACAGCAAGCAGTAGTCTAACTCAGCTACGGACACCAGGCTGGAGACAGATGGTGTAAAATTTATGTTTCTCACACAGCTAAAGTATAAACAGAACTATGAAATATTGCAGTGCTTGGATAAAAGAGGTTTGTTTTACTTGAGTAATACTCTCTGTTTCCATCCTTCACCTCCTCCTTCCCAGAATGATTTACTATAATTTCAGCAGTAGCTGACCCAGTATGTATTTTCTTGGATTGGTAATGGCTGGCTCTTTGCTAATGATCCTCAGTTTTGCCTCAGGCCATTAGCTCTCCCAAATGCTTGTTCCTCAGGAAGTCATCCAGGGCTCTACCTAATTTAGTCTCTTAATTTAAATTCATTGCAAATTATAATATTGTTCTTTGTTTCTGTTTGCTCCTTGTTTAGACATTTTCTTCTTTGGTAGATCTGCAAATGGAGCAAATTGGGGAAAAATGGAACAAATAGAGACAGCATCTAGTTAGGTAAATAAATAGAAGCAGGGAGTTTAAAATCAGTTTATTTAACCAGAAGCAATGGCCTAGTCACCGTGAAAGGTTTACAAAGAAATGATTTGTTGAACAAACTGTATTGGTGTGTAGAATAGACCACTGGGGCCAAATAAGACAGCAGTGGAACTGCATCTAAAAACAATTATTCGGTTTTAAGTGCCCTCCTCCTTGCATAATGACTAGCACAGCCTCACACAACCTGGTGTTCTCCAAATATTTTGGACTGCAGTACCAAGCATCTGGGACCCATGCTGGTTGGGGCTGATGGGGACTGAAGTCCAAAATATTTGGAGGACTCCAGGTGGGGAAGGTTGGTGTAATAGACTCATGTTGTGGTACCAGAGAGCTTCAGCTGTGGGGCAGTGTAGAGATGATGGGGATGTTCTGCAGGCACTCTGTCCACTCTAGCAGCCACGATGCAGCAGGGAGATATGCAGTGCTGTGACATCACGGCATGCAAGTTCCCCACTGTGCATTATGGAAGGAGAGGGGGGCAATCTTCATGCTGGAGGCGCCTTTGCTCTAGCATCTAGTGAGACCCTCAGGTAATTGGTGTGCTTGTGTTCTCTAAGGATACTTTCCTTTGCATACGGATGATTATCAGTTAGCTTTACTCAGGGACTTGTGCTGAAGCACTTAGGAAATCCAACATATAACATCTCATGGATCACCCCTAACTCTGTGCTTGTTACCACTTGCAAAGAACTGGAAGACTCATAAGTCAGGACTTACCTTTGCAGAAGCCATGCTGTTTCTTCCTCAGCTAGGTGTCATCTTATGTTTAACACATTTAACTTTAATCTAGCTATAATTCGGCAATGAAAGTCTCAGTAGCCTTGAGCTAGCTTCTTTTTCCAAAGTGAGGCTGCCCTAAGGGGTTGTTGTGATGATAAAATGGGATATTCTCATGGGTCTGACTAAAGTTCTTGGAGGGTGGGATACAATTGAGATACATAGACAGACAGACAGACAGACAGATAGATGATAGATAGATAACTTGCATACTTAGTTGCTCAGTTAGGATGAAGTAATATGAGGTTGCATAACATAAACCATGGGTCCTCAAACTATGGCCCACAGGCTGGATTCAGCCCGCCATGCTCATTTATCCAGCCCGCCTCCGAGCGAGTCCAAAAGCTCTGAGGTGGTACAGTTGTTCTCTGAAACTGAGCAGAGCCAGCGCACACGCCAAATTATAAAAGTTCAACTGTGCATGCGCTGGATCTCTCTCTCCCCTCCCCCCAATTGCATGCATATACAGAGCAGGAATACGGAGCAGGAAACAGAAGAGAGGCAGGTGGGAGAGAAAGCGAGACAGAGATGAAGAAACTAAGAAAGGATTGAAGGTAAGAAAAATATAAGTTTTTAAATCTATTTTTAATTATGCGAGCCTGGGGGCAGACAGGCTGTGCCACCTTCTCCAAGGGAGTAGACCGCCGTTGCCTCACTGAGCTGGCCTCCTGCTCCTGCTCCTGCAGGAGCAGCAACCTGGTACACTTCAAATGCTGTGGGCTACTTTGCCCGTTAGCCTCAGCCAGCCTCGTTAGCAGTCAGGGATCATGTGAATTGTGGTCCAAAGTATCTGATGGCATCTAATTCTGGTTGATAGTTGGGAGGTGGTTTTGTCGTGGGGGGGGGTTGCTCATAATAGCATTGCAGAGTTGTTTTCTTCATACAGTTTGGGGATCTGAGGTGAGGGGGAAAACAGATGTAGGTTGTGCTGAATACCCAGATTGACTCAGGATGTATGAATTCATGCTCTGATATGGAAATAGCCTGCCTCATCACTTTCTGGGTGTGTGTGTCATTTTGTTTCCTTCCTCCATCCTTCAGCTTTCCTCTTCCATTATTTGCAGATTGCAATAGTTATTAAGAAAAGGGTTCCTTCTGCATCATCCTCACAAAATTGGATAGGTACAGCAGATGTGGACAGCGTCTTAACAAGAATTGACTTGATTCCAGTTGTCAAAAAACTAGGCACTGACATAATTATGCACTGGCCTGTATATCTATGGATGCCAAATCAGCTGAATTTGTAGTCCAACTCATCTGGACAATACCGGTTTTGGCAAGGTTGCTCTTAAAATATGGTAGTCATTAGCTCTGCATCCAAATACAGCCATTGTGTATTGTGGGAATTATTCTGGGCTGACTTGCTTCAAGTACTAAGAGTGGCATTAACAGTATTTATCCTTAGTATTTTTGCTTCATTCTTTGTAAATGCCAGTTGCAATCGTCAGCTGCAAAATACTATATTTAGTGGCTTGATTGTATTGTAGCTACTGTATGTCCCTTGAATATGGACATGCTCTTTCCCACCTCATCTTGGGCTTCTGCTGCAGCCTGAGGGAGTGGAGCAAACGTTTGTTAATTTTTAATTTCTTTTTTAAAAAATAATTAATTTTAATTTTAATTAATCTTAATGTGCAGTGTGCATAGGAATTCATTCATATTTTTTTCAAACTATAGTCCAGCCCCTCAACAGTCAGAGGGACAGTGAAGTGGCCCCCTGTTTAAAAAGTTTGAGGACCCTGACATAAACGTTCATGTCACTGCTTTTTCTTCTGGCCTTCTGGAGAGATGCCAGCAATGCCAGCCTCAGAAATGTAGATAGTATAAAGCCTGACCCTGTAAACACAAACCTAGGAATAAGTCTCATTGAACTGAATTGATTTTGCTCCTGAGACATGTATAGGATTACACTGTAAATAACATGTTGTGAAAATTGTGATTTTGACATGCTTTTTTTGCAGACTAATTTTCTAGGTATTATTTGTAATCCCCTGTACGTTAGGAACATGTATGTTCCAGCTTGCTTTTGGAAACACAGAGACTAGAAACTTTTATTAAAAGCTGTACTCTTTAATAAGCATGAGTGATTTTTGTTAAGGAAAAAAGAGAGCACAGGTTTACTTCCCCAGCTTTCCATTGTACAAAATAAAATAAAAATTTAAAAGCCACAGTTGAGAATCAAGATGTCTCAAGCTGGAGTTTCTTTCCAAATTTGTATCCCACATCTGTTGTGAGACAACACTTGGGATTTCTCCAGCAAAAAATCATAACTCAGCTTCTACTTCCTCAGTCTTTCTTAACACTTAATATCATTTTGCACACACAAAAAGTAAATGATATTTGAGAGAGTGAGAGAGCGCACTGAAAGAATTAGTTACAGACAGGCTATACAAAGAAGCAGGAAATTCTTCCAGGCTCACTCTTTCTGAAAAATCTACTTTCCGAGTCTTGCTTACTTGCGTCAACTTTAAATAACCATTATTTGCTCTCCGTTTACTTTGGCATTATCAACTTGCTCAGCGACAAATTGCTGGAGAGTTTCTCTTTTCTTCCCACCCTCTAAAAGTAGCACACCTTCCAAACAAGAGTGTTTTCCAAGTTATTACTTTCCTTGCTATTTCATTCCATACCAGTCATCCATCCAAAATCCCTCCCACCCGTAAAGGAAAGGCAAAGTTCCTCCATCTGGAGGCAGAGCGTGCAGACACCAGCGTCCTCACTTGGTGTCCCACCCTTAGAGAAGGAGGATCAGGGCTGCTGCCCCCCTGCAATTCTGGCAACAAAAGGCGGGTGTGTGCAGGAATGAGTTAAAAAGGAACTGCCGAAGGAGTGATCTTTCTAAGGCCCAAGTGCGTCCAGGCAGGTTTGATGGCGACCTGAAACAAAGAGGCTGCAGAGCGGACGTGGACCAGTGGAGCTGATGAACCCCAGGCTCTGAGCCAGGTTAAATGAAGCAGAGGCGAGGGGCAGGTCAGGAGCCCGGGCGGCTCATGGGCTGCAGGGTGAGTGTGGCTTGCCTGGGGACTGAGCTGTGCACCCTTCCCCTGGGTCATCAGTGCCTGACACGGGACAAGGCAGAGATAATGATTCAGGTAGGTGGAGCCTCCTTCCGGAACTCTTTCTGTGTGTTTGAAATTGCAGCAGTGGAAGGGGAGGAAGAGAAACAGCAAGGCAGTCGGATTACTCTGTGTTCCTTACTGTAGTGCTTGAATATAGCAGCAGCTTGTCCATTAGTTCTTGATTCCTGGAGTCACAGGTATGAGTGGTGTGTGTGTGTGAATGCAGTGCCAGCATTTTAATTCAAACATGCCAACCAAAGAATGGCCTTTTTGTGTCTTGATTCAGAGGGCTGGCTTTCCAGGCATGTTTCACAAAACGCCTGAACAGGGTAAATTTTTCCCCACTTCTTGGCAAGATGATACAGACAATCCAGCTTCTTTAAGGCAAGCAAGAGTTCAGCACAGTTGTGATGTAATGTGCCATCTTTTGAGTTCTGCAGCACTCTTTTTAAGTGGAAGGTAAGGAAAGAAAATAAAAAGATAAGAAGATGGGGTTAACCAGGTCCCCCCCCCCCCAAAAGAAGGTGTTCCTGGGCAAAATAAAATGTATTTATTCGTTGCAATGATATTCTACCTTTCTCCAAGGCAAAACATTCCTTTCTATTTTTTCCTCAAAACAATTCTGCGAGGTGAGTTAGGCTAGAGTCAGTGCCTGGTCCAAAGTCATCCTGTGAGCTTCACAGCTACGTGGGGTCTTGAGCTGGGTTTTCATCAGTTCCAGTCCAGATCCATTCAATTCTGTGGCACAGTGACTGCCTTTTATTTTCCAGGACCCAGGGGTCACTTTGCATCTATTTAATCTACTTTAAGCATCAGGGAGGCCTGCTTGTGCATTACCAAAGTGTTATCGTGAGGTTAAAAGGGACATATAAATGCATGAAGAAGATGTTGTATCTCATAAGCGTGAGACACCTGCAAAATATCCCTAGCTAGCATAACAACAGATGTACCTTGTATATCTGAAAGTGAGGACACGCACAAACACATCTCAGCTGGGTGATGTTTTGACCACTGTGCAGAATGAGTGTCCCCACTTAATGCTTGAAAGGTTTGTAAAACTGAATTAAAAGAAAAGATAGATAAATAAATGTCAGTCATTTATGTATGCAAGTTTCATTTGATTTGACTAATTGATCAAGACACACTCCTGTGTATGTTTAAGCTGAAAAAAAATCCTATAATCCCCCAGCATACCTGGCTGGGTAATGCTGGAAGTTGCAGGACTCCTTTTCTGCCTAAATGTAGATAGGAGTATACTTTGAATGGGCTTTGGCTTCACTCGACAGCAATTGTGGTGTGTGTGCGGTGCAATTTCTACAACATGAAGTGCCTACTGTTGTTCGTGATCCATGCCAAGCCTCTCCAGTGCTTTTGCCACCTCTTCGTCTATCAGTGCAGAAGAAAGCAACACACACAAGAGCCACCAGTACTTCCTGTGACAGATTGTCTTTGAGTCTGTTTCGTCTGAACTTGTGTATGTCCCTGTCCCTCCACTTGATAGGAGGCTAGGTCTGACGGTGGACTGTCTGAGATGGTCTACCATCAATGTAGACTATGGGTCCTCAAACTAAGGCCTGGGGTCCGGATCCGGCCCGCCATGGCCATTTATCCGGCCTGTCATGCCCATTTGGACGCACGTGCCTGCCGCCCATCTTGCCCCGCGCGCGGGGAGGCAGCGGTTTGCTTGCTCAGAGGAAATGATTTCCAAGCGAGCAAGCCGCTGCCTCGTGCGCCTGCCTCACGGTGTGTGCCCGCCCCCGCCCATGCCTCCCCTCCCCTCACCAGGCACACACGCCCACCCGTGCCTTGCCTTGCCTCGCCTTGCCTTGCCGCGTGCCCCGCCGCCCCCCTCAGCATGCTCGCCCGCATGCGCAGCCCCCCCCCCCCCCGGCCAGCCCTCGCACACCACTGGCACCACCTTTCCAGCCCGCATCCAGCACCGGCACCTTTCAACTGGCCCCCTGGTGGAAAAGTTTGAGCACCCCTGATGTAGACGATGCTACAATGCTTTCAATGTGGTGGACTTGAAAGCAAGCCAGATTTTTTTGAAAAGCAAAGTTTTCTTTTCAAAGCATAAGAAAATTTCCCCAAATCTATATGGGTGTAATACCATTATAAGGACAAATCAAGATCTGTGAACATCTGAGATCTCCACATTTCTACATTAGGCAAGCTGTTATTTTAAAAAATTGTAGGGATGGGAGAGGAAGTGGAAAAGGAAGGTTGACTTGAAGTTGGAAACATAAAAGTGTTGGACATATGCATAACTGGCACCAGTTTAAAAGTGCAGAAAAAACTGTGGGATCCGTGTGTGAAATGTTGTCTCTTCATATTAATTTTCCAAACAGTTATTTCCTGCCCTATCCTTTGATGATTGGTAAGTTTAACTGGGAAATAACACTTTGGCCTTGCTAAATGGCAAACCTGAACAGCACTTGGTTGTACTTTTAAGCTATCTTTAGGTAGTGAGGTTTGTTTATTTACGGACAAATCTCCTGTTACTGGGTGTAATTGACAGGGCTCTTTCTGTTTTTCCAGAAAACCAGAACATCTTTTAAATTGGGTACTTTTACTGGTTGCTGAAGTCTTATGGTGTGCCTGGACTCCTGCCTCTTCCTTCCTTTCCCCCTGCTTCTCCCCCAACTTAGAGTAAAGAGCCAAGGTCAACAGACGTGCCTCTTTCTCACACATCATTTCATGTTCAAATATGTTTGTGCAGGTTCTGGTTGAGAAAATGATGCTTGTGGCTGCTGCTGATGCTTAATTCTTGGGAGAACTGAGCTGGTATTTCTCATCTATTGATATTCCCCTCATTGCACATCAAGTGGAGATAGTGTGCTCTCCCATAATTCAACATAGCATAGCTCAGAGCAGTGGGTTTCACAGTTGTTACTCTCAGGGATCACACACACACTTTTATTTATCTGCCTGGGAACCCCAGTTAATTTGTCACTGAATCCCTAAGCATTTGCTGAAAATTCTGGGGTACATATCAGAAAAACTGTTTATCTGACTTTCTAAGCTACATGGCCCAGTTTGAACATCACACTGAACCATCATTTAGTTTGATGAGAATGAGCAACTGTGAGCCATGCACTCATTTGATTCTCTTTACCTTTCTTCCTCTGGTGCAGGAGTTTGGAACCACTGACTTCCATTTTTGCTTAACGTCAACTCGCCACATTGTCCAAATTGACAATTTGTACTTAAAATCAGCTACACTTTGCCTGAAACAAACTGGCTAAACACTGTTGTGATTGTTGTTTACATGAACTGAATGTGCATCTTGAAGTGCGCCCCAAATCTTTCTGCAACGTGTGGCAGGCAATGTACCTTTCAGTGAAGCTCATTTATCATTTTACCTGATTTTCTCATAAACTTCCAGAAGGAACTAGCAAGCTTCCAAAAAGGATCCTTGGGTCTCAGTTTGAAAACTTAGTGTACACAGCCCAAACTTGGAAGGTGCGTAGGTGGGCAGGTGCACTCTGCCCATTCTCTGAAAGGAAGTTGGAAGGGAATGGAAGGGAATATCTCAGAAAAGAGCATAGATGGCTGGGAGTCCCAAGCAGGAGCACTCCATGCTGCAGCACAGTGTTGCAGTCCCACTTGCACATACCAGTAACAGATAGGGAACTGAATTACAGCAGTTGCATAACTAAAATGGGACCACTGAGAAACTAGAATAAACCTCCTGCCAAGTATCTCACATGTTACAATTCATGGCTGCTTGGTAAAATCTTATACACGTCAGTTTTAATGGAGCACAAGCCTCATTAATTAGCAGCTGCAATTAACATTACCTACAAATTCAGCTGAAGCCCCCACAGAATCTAGCCACCTTGGGCTGTTTCTGGTGCTTCCTGAGGCAATATGGCTTTCCCACTGAGGTGACAGAACTGAAAACAGGATCTCTTGCTGGTGTTTCTTTAAATGCTGAAGGGGGGCGGGGGGAGTTGCTTGACTGACAGGTCTGTCTTAAAATGTAAAACACCCTTTCCCAGGGCCTTTCCACTCATCATGCTTTGCAGGAGGGGTTGGCAATCTAGTATCTTCCAGATGCATTGGAATACAACTCCTGTAATCCCTGATCATTGGTCCTGGTGATCTGAAATTATGGGAACTGTAGCCCAGAACAACTGGAGGGTACCAGGTTGTGCATTATATAATAATAAGGGATTCTTTAATGGTAAGAGACAAGTCTTTAAGAGATGCATCATATTTCAGTGCTCCATGGTGGAAGTCCTTAATGAATTCCAGCACTGTCAAATTCTCATACATAATCCAGGCTGCTGACGAGGATGGGGCGTTATGTTCACATGACTCCAGTCCTCCGTCAGCTTCACTGGCTTCCCATTGAAGCCCGGGCCCAATTCAAGGTGTTGGTGATGACCTATAAAGCCCTAAACGGCTTGGGTCCTGGTTACCTGAAGGAGCGCTTACGTCCATATATGCCCACCCGCCCCCTGAGATCAGCGGTAGAGGCCCTTCTCCGGGAACCTTCTGTGAAGGAAATTAGGAGGAAAGGTACTCAGAGGAGGGCTTTCTCCGTGGTGGCACCCAATCTATGGAATGCGCTCCCCAGAGAGGTCCGCCTGGCGCCGTCGTTATTTGTTTTTCGGCGCCAGGCGAAGACCTTTTTATTCAAGCATCATTTTAATTGTTAATGGTATTTATTTTTATTCTTTGGCCAGGGCGACTTATTTTATACTGTTATATGTGTTTTATATTGTTAATTTATGTATTTTAATTTATGTATTTGTAAGCCACCCCGAGGCTTCGGCGAATGGGGCGGCCTAGAAATTTTCTAAATAAATAAATACATAATACTTACATGAAGGAATGGGGAAGATTAATTCATTTCATCTTTTAATTCAATTTTACCTAATTTTGCCAGTGGTCAGAGAGGGGGGATTAAAAAATAAATAGATAAGCAGTAGATCAGCTTCCTCCAACCTGGTGCCCTCCAAACATTTTGGTCTGCATTTGCCATCATCTCTGACCACTAGCAAGGCTGGCTAGGGCTGATGGGAGTC